TCTTCACAGTCCTCCTCCAAATCTATAATATCATTAATTGGCTTTAAAAGCTCCACTTCATCTTCAGGAGGTGACGTATTTATAAATATAACTTGTCGAATATGCCTTTTTCATAGGAAGTTTTTAAACAATATACACAGCCTCTTGAGCACTTATTTAAACATTATTCAAAACTTTGCCAATGTCTCTGACTTGCTGTTTTATACTGGAATTCTCTTCATTTGCTTCCGTACAAGCCTATTGTAAAAGTTCACTCATTCCTTTTTGAGCTTAAAAGTCACCATATACACAAGCCTATTGTAAAAGTTCACTCATTCCTTTTTGAGCTTAAAAGTCACCATATACACAGCACATGCATAAACATCTACGACAAACTGAATGTCCATATTTGCTCTCCATGCACTAAGACAAGCAGGATTGTAATTGTCCATCCTCAATTCATTTGGATTTCTTTTCAAAAACGCAGTAGGTGCATTAAATGATGAGATTATAGCTAGCGAGTAGTTTTCTTTTGCGAGACTGAGCTCAAACAGTAACTGATCAAAGAATATATCTTCGCCTTCCTTCACATCATTTGGATGCTTTTGGATTTATTTCCTTGCATCTTTGTGTCTTTTTATTTTACTTCGAGGGATATCAGTATTTAGAGGATACAAAATTTCTGTCTGTGTCCACCGTCACTTTATGTATTCTTCCGACAACTATGAGAATATCTGTGTACTTATCTGTTGACTAGTTTAAGTGGTTCATGGTTGTCTGTTGGTCTTTGTCAACTAATTATATTATCCATATCTGATGTCACGTTTGCATCACTGTCCATAGAAAACTGTCATGTATTCTCAAGCCGAATCAACATTTGAATATAAGGTGAACCTCTTGTCTGGTATTCGAGGAATTGACTAATTTCATAGTCAAAATGTCTGGCGCAAGTTACAGGATCACGTTGAATTAATCTACATTTTTCTTCCCCGTTTAAACTCTCTAGTTCGTTATCAGTATATTTTTGCTGATTAACAATTTGACCAAGTATTCTAAGAAAGTGTATCCATTGTGTCTCTGCTGATGAGAAACTACAAAACGAGGAAGCTGGACCTGACTGTCTTCATTACAAAAAGGTCTCTTTTAGCTTTCCCAAAATATGGAGGTGAACTTCTTGAGGCTCTCAGAAATTTAAATCCCTCATTATGAAAGATTAAGCTATCACATGTTCTTTGTTGATTTAAGTTTCCTGCATTTTGGATCCTGCTATTACATTTTCTGAGTGCAATTTGGGACTGGCCTAAAAGGATTTTCATTTGTGACGTTTTTGTTTTGCAAAGTATGTTCTCAACACACTTGGCTTGTCTTCTATTTGAACTTCTAAGTTCAGACTTAAAGATTTTACTGTGGTGGAGTTCAACCATATGTTTCTTATTTTCTGGTCTTCTCTGGCCAAGAAATATTCTAGGATATGCTAATTCTTCAGAATATTTGTATCTGAATACACTCAATGGCCTATCACCCTAAGCTGGTGCAACATTGAGAATATTTTGACGTTCAGTGGCTTCTCAAAAGTCGGTTGATGTTAGCAGAGCATCGGTAAAACCTGTCGAATTTCTACTTCATCTTCACTCCATTCATCTTCACCATCTAGTTGTTGTGAATCTACATTAATATTGTTGCTATTTATACCAGCTGTTACTGATTGTTAATCACATGTATTGTCACTCTTATTCTCATGTTGTAAAATTTCTTCATTATAATTAATAATACAATTTTGGTTCAATACAATACCTTCATCTTTATAAAGACCAATACAACTAATAAGGCGCAATGCCGCTTCAACAACCTTATGAGGTCTTACATTAAAAGACGTTGCAGAACTCTTGTACCTCAACTTTCTTTTTAAATTCTATTTTATTGTACCAGTCTCACCAAGTAACCGTGGTAACACACTGACTGAATTAGTAACATCTGAAGGCACATTTACAATATTACCATGGATTTTGAGTTGCTATACTCCAGGGGCTTGCATTAATTTTTTTAATGCAATTCTTAGTGCTGGCAATCTACATTCTAATTTATTGAGATAAAAAGAATGTTGGTTTTTGTGGGAATACCAAACCACTGACAACAGCAAATAGTGGAATTCTGTTTTTAACCAAGTTATTATGGCATGTTTTACAAACCCATTCATTGTCATCAACACTTGTCATATAACCGAGATACTTGTCAATATCTGGGTTAGACTGTATTAGTTTATCAATACAAACTACACTATGATAATACTATTACAGATCACAACAGGTACAGATGTACAGTGGACCTTGAAATCCAAGATTGAATATTATTTTTGCGTTTAGCTGTGTAACTTTTCATGTAGGCATTATTTTTTGCCTTTTCTTATTCAGATGCTTTGGATGCTCTTCGATTCTTTTTGTATGCTCTATGCTTTTCTTTCTCCTCTGCTGCTTTAGCTGTTCTATATTGCCTCCTACAGTGGGCTTTTTTCTCTTATTCCTGTTTGCCGTTGCTTTTTGCATCCTTTTGTGTCTTTTGTGTCTTTCTAAATTCTTTCATATAGGCATTACGCATCCTTTTTCGTTCATTTTCACTTGATTATTTAGCATTGTTATGAAATGTTTCACTGTGTGCTTGATTTGAACTTGTTTGAGACAGAGTTGATAAAGTTGAGACATAATGTATTTCACCTATGTGTCCTAGATACATAGACATTGGATGGTTTATCATATTTGATGGTTCAACCGAGGTCATCTCTGAAAATTTTTCATTAAATTCTGATGCGAATCTTTAAATCTATTGCATGAGCCACTGCTTGTATATCGATATGATGAGCCCATGTTCCTAAACATATTGGATAACGTATTCTAACCATGACGTTTCTTCATCACTTTCTACAAATCGTTCAGGATTATCTCTTAAATATTGAATGCATCTAGCTTTAATTTCTAAAACAGCAATCTCCTCCTCCATCCACATCTAGTGTCCTTAAACCATGCTAAATCAGTATATAGTTAACAGGGCATATGCACTATCACTACATGTATCAGCTTCAGAACCAGGCACAACTCTCAGGGATGTTATCATCAATTTTTATATCAATTGTCCCATTGCTGGGACCGTCTGCCTCCCGAAGGAGATCTCTTGTCCCATTACTGGGATTATTTGTCTCCCGAAGGAGGCCTTCTGTCCCATTTCTGGGATTATTTGTCTCCCGAAGGAGGTTTTTTGTCCCATTTCCTGGACTGTTTGTCTCCCAAACGAGTTTCTTGTCTCATTGCTGGGATTATTTGTATCTCAAGGAGGTTTTTTTGTCCCATTGCTGATCTATTTGTCTCCCGATGAGGGTTTTTTGTCCCATTTCCCGGACTGTTTGTCTCCCGAAGGAAGTTTTTTATCTCATTGCTGGGATTATTTGTCTCCCGATCGAGGTTTTTTGTCCCATTGCTGGGATTACTTGTCTCCGGAAGGAGGTTTTTTGTCCCATTTCTGGACTCTTTGTCTCCCGAAAGAGGCTTTTTGTCCCATTTCTGGACTCTTTGTCTCCCGAAAGAGGCTTTTTGTCCCATTTCTGGGATTATTTGTCTCCCGAAGGAGGTTTTTTGTCCCACTGCTGGGACTATTTGTTTCTCGAAGGAGGTTTTTCTATCCCATTGCTGGGATTATTTGTCTCCCGAAGGAGGTTTTTTTGTCACAAACAAAAATACACAAAAACGAAAGCAGTTAGTTATAAGGGTGGGACGAAATTTCTTTGATGTTCAGTAACTCCAAAAGTGGTTTGTAAGTGAAAACTTGAATGGTGGCTGGATATGTAACTCTTTTATCAACTTTTTCAAGCGAAGTAGAAGCTGATTTCAGTTAAAAGTGATAACAGCACGAAATAAGAGTATTTCGAGGACCCTGTTTAATGTTGCAAAGTACTTTAACATTCTCCTTAAGAAAATCCTGTAAACAAACTTTCCTTAAAAAAAGGGAAAGTTCAGTTGATAGAAATGTCAATGGAAGGCTAAAACAAAATAGAAGGTTTGATTGGTCAATGCTATAAAAACAAATCTTACTTTGTGATATCATTAAAGAAAATACAATGACAGAGTGATTATCATAGCTACAACATCCAGATTTTGATTGAGAAACACTCCGTTTTTCAGAACGAATTTGGAAGTTTTTACAAGCTTGGGAAAGCGAATGAAAGGCAATCATCTAAAAAAATTGGTAAATAAAAATAGATACATTGAGAGATAGTTTTTAAAAATTACATCCTAGCCCGTTGGCTAAATTAAGTCATTATATAGACTAATAAAAAATATAATCATGTATAAAAATATACCAATGGTATATAAAGTAGCCTGGTGAACTAAAAAGCCACAAAATATCATAACAAAGTCCACGTGCAAGAAAACTACACAGGGAGTTTTCAGTAATCACAAGTTCAAAAAGCAAGGCAGCAAGCTAAAGACTCTTCGGCTTTCATTACCTTCTTTGCAACACAAGCTGACACTGAAAAAATAAATGCACACTCTTGGTTCACAACTGTTCATAAAAATTCGATTCAATAACAACCCAAAAGTTAACTTGGATTGTTGAGCAAAATCAGTGATCAGATTGACCCCTGATAAATCAAAGCAGCAGCCCTTTGTGGAGCTCCCAGGATGGTTATGTATTTAAGGCCAGGTTACTACGATGTTTTTACGATGGCGCCGTTCAAAGTCAAATCTCCGAATAGTTTGTTTGCCCTTTAGCAACTCAAAACGCAGTTGGTTACAATAATTCAATGTACGATTTTCATTGGTGAAGATATATATCTCTTTCTGACTTCTATTTCTGTTCGTTAAGATTTGAGTTTTTTCCTCTCGGATGGCCAAAACGAGGTTCCCTAAATTATTTAAAAAACGAATCGAGAAAACGAGGTTATCAAATCTCTGGGTTCAAACAGAGAGCGATGGTTTCAGCTCGAAAAACTGAAATTTTAATTTAGTTTACCTCTTCACTAACCTCATCAACTACATCTCTGTCTGAAAATCAAAATGAGCGTACGGTTTAATGTGTTGATGACGTGTTACATTCATGCAATACGTTGTCGTGTTGATAACATAACCCTCAAGATTCCGCCTAAAATCTTCGACTAAGGTCCTATTTCTGTAAATTAAAGGAGGTTTCTCTCGAACTGTATCGATGTAATCTCCCCAGTTTGTGTTTTCGTTCTTTAAAGAGGTTGGGTATGGGCGATGTTTTGGATTTCCCGCACTAACAGGCACAAACATCAATGCTTGGCCTCGAATTATCAGTTCCACAGCAGAAAACATATACCTCTGCTGTGACCACCAGCTTTTGTTTTCATACTGCGAACGGTAAGGGGAGAGATGCTCGATAGATTTGTAATGAAATGCATTGAAAAGACCATCAAACCATACTTTTGGTATCACAAGGGGACTGTCCGTTTTGTTACATATTTTCTTTCTTCTCTCATTGGTCCAGATGGCCCCATGATGCCATTGTAATCCACAACGCCAACTACAGGCTCGTACTCTAAGAGCCATTGTTCTAAGACTCTAGACGGCGGAAGCCTCTTTATTTGTGGCGATGCAAATAAATCTAAGGGCAGCACCACATCATCATCTATAAAAATGTAATGATGGTACTTTGGCGATCTTGTTACTGCAGCAAAATACAGCACATTTCGCCCTGTTGCCCATCCAGTATTGGCATCGAACAGATAGGTGATATGAGGCGACTTTTGCACTTGACATTTAGTACGAAAGCTTAGCACTATCACATCACAGTTACATGTTTCGTTGTCGCCGCTCTCGGAAGAAGAGGCCAAGTTTGAGGGAACCTGTTGTTCTGTTTGAGTAAGATAAATGAAAACCTTTGAGGATGACTTCTTTGTGGCTTTCTCTGTGGCTGTAGCTTGAGTTGGAACAACCTTTGGACTGACGATCTCACTTACGATAGAGGAGATATTGAAATTTATTTTGAAGTATTAACAAGTTTTACTGAACCGGCATGCTTTAATTTCGATTCTGGAAATGCAGTGGATCTAAACTCGGTGGGTGTTCAGTGCTGGCTGTCGGTGTCTTGTTTTTAGTTACTCTACGCACGAAAGAGGAAGGATAAGCATTAGAAACAACAACAGATGACAAATGTTTCTTCCCATTGGAGATAACGAAAGGTTTTGTTACCAGACATTTCGTACGCTCGTAAAGGCACTAGACAATACTGCACTTTACTTAACGCGGATGGTGAGAATCATACGCTAGATATTGATCATGTATGTCGGCTTCCTGTAGACGCTGGTGGTTAGGCGTCCATTAGGTTCTCTTGTAAATGCGGTGTCGAGGAAGGCGAATTTTTTGTTTCTCTCTGTCTCCTTGGTGAAGTAAATGGAAGGCTGTTGGTGGTTTAAATGCTGTAGGAAGTTTTCCATGCTGTCACGTGCCAAGATGGTGAAGGTATCGTAGGGTTGTAAGGTGATGATGTTACCTCATGTTCTTCTAAACTCACCATATAGGGGTTGACAATAACATCGGAAACCGCGCTCCCTTATAGCTGCACTTTCTGTCTGTTTGTCAATTGATCCATTGTACTGGCAGTATGTAGATCTCAATATCAAGTTGGGGAGGTCTGTAATATGGGTGGGCTGGAATCGTTTTCCAGTTTCTGCCGAGCTGCTTCTACAGTTACGTCGATCGGAACTTTGGTGAACAACGATTCTACGTCGAAGGACAATCACATCTGAAGTGACCACGTCGTGAGACAAACGATTCTATTTCTCTTTTTGAAGTGTTACTTACCACGATGAATAGGCACAACCTATTTTACGATGTAAATTTTTATCTTTGTCGTCATGCTTTTGTTGGAAATTCATAAAAGTTGCTCTTTTACATATGCAGTTGAATTGGTTTTGCTTTCTATTTTACTGGAATGATCGCCCCCTCTGGAACAGTTTTCAAAAGCATCGACTTTTTACAACCGTAACACTGAAGAGTGTTTTGATGTGGATAATACGTATCTTTTTTTCCTGCAGTACATGTTTTTACATTCAGGATATGTGTTAATACAGACGGTTGTCATACTTTAGCAACGTTAAAATCGAATACTTTGATAATATACATTCGATCAAATTTGCGGCTAAAGTGCCCAGTTTGTCAGCTCAAAAATGGATCTAGGTTTATCGGAACTGTACAATGAAGTTTATTGACGAAGTGGTTCTTCGTTTTAAGTAATAATTCTTTTCACTTTTTGGACTTGACATCTGATTGCGCCAAGCAGAATACTAGACCTTGCTGGGGCAAAAATCAGTCAAGGACAATAAAAGTAATATAACAAATTTCAAACACATAGATATAACTAAGTTAAGCGCTTCCGAAAGCTGAAGAAGCCTATTTACATGATGTGGTCCTGTTCACCAGAGGTCTTTCCTTCGCAATGCAATTTTACGACATGTTCAAGGGAACAAATTCAAGGTCATGTGAAATTCATTAACAAAATTAATTGAGTAACTGAAACTCCGAGGGCATAATTAACCTATAATTAACCTGACGAGCATCAAATGCTGTAAAACATTTCCAACTCATTAACTTACCTATTCTTCTGTTGTTGTTTCTGGATTTGCTATTTCCTTTTCTTATCTCAGCTTTGTATGAGATGCAGAAGAAAAAGGCGGTTAAACCAAGGACAAAAAGCAAACTTGCAAGTTTACTTCTTACTTTTGATTCTGCTTCAAGACCTTAAAGTCACCTCGTCAAGCACGTTAGGGCCTGGAGAAAACAAAGAATATTTCATTCTTATGGGAGAAAATATTAGTTCAGCACGATAAGCGAAGACACCATAACCTAAACTGCGATCACTGTCGGTTAGTTGAGAGAATATAGAAGGTAACGAGAAGCCAACTTTTTTAATAACTTTTTAATTATCACCTCACTTTGTAATACCTGTCACTCTTTGTGATAAGACATGTGGCACTGTAATAAACTTGGTAAAGATGGTCCAAAGACGAGTAGAGTATGTACATAACAATAATCTTTTAATCATGTCGAAAGCCGCCATATACTTGTATCGTTTAGCAAAAGAAAAACCTCTGGAACGATACAAGAGTCGAATTTCTGGAAGTTTACGCCAACATAGCGATTCCCTCGGTAACAACTTGGCCATCAAAAAAGAAGATATGACTGTAAGCTATTTGCTCTAAAATTTTGGAAAGTGAATGAGGAACAAAAGAGGCGTGTTATTCGGGTTCTTTTGGCAAACCTTTCGTTAAGTTTTAAATAAAATTCAAATTTGTCATTTATTAGCCTAGGTCAGTCCGTATTGGGAAAAATTGCGCCTGAGGTCTTGAGTAACGCCTTAGGACCTCGGGCGACACTCAAGACCAAAGGGCACAGTTTTTGCAAACACGGTTTACTGGCTTTGAAATAATATATCTATGTTTGAAAAAAGTTACTTCGATGACAATTTGGTTTTATCAACTGAGTTGATAATGCAGATTAGATGCTGTAAAGAGTTTCCAAAGCTAGCTTTGGAAAGTTTGAATGATAGACAATTCACTTTATCTCAGTTGATAAAACTAAATTATCTTTTCATATCCCCACCGATGCCTTAAAAACTTTCCCACATATTTCATCGATAATTTGTTTCTGACCACAATTCCCGCCGTTTGACAACAGCACGCACAGTTTAGAAGAAGTTGAGATCACGTCGAAAACCGTCGTAAGCTTGTATCGTTAAGCAAACGACTGAAAGCCTCTTAAGCGATACTTGAGTCGAACTCTGGGAGTTTTCGGCAACATGGTGATTTCCTCGGTAATGACTTGGCTACTAATTAAGATTAGACTGTAAGCTATTCACTTTGGAAATTTTTAAAAGCGAGGAACGATCGGGACAGGCATATCATCAGAGAAATATTGCCACGTTACTAACAAAGTTTTAATTTGGCTACAACGCTGGCAATTTTCATTTTTTCTGCAACGATGCCATGCAATATAGATAAATTAACCACTTATGTGAACGGGACGGAGATAACGTTCAGAAATTTTCCTGTTTATTGTATACATAGGAATACTATCATGGCCGCATTTTTTTGTGACTGACTATTCGTTTTTCAATAGCAATAATTTCTTCTTCCGTTGCCAGGTCTAGAAAAATCGACTGATTGAAATTTCAAATGAATAAAAGGGGTTACTATCACCACTGAAAGAACTTTTTGTTTATGGTGGTATAGAACCTTTACCGACCCTAGGAACTTTTATGGCAGATGTCACGCAAGCTGGTTTTAAAGATGGAAACAAGGCTGACTTCGTAGTGGTTGAAGGGGATGGTTGTACGCCGTTGGGTCGCGAAACTCCCGAGGCGCTAAACCTGCTGCGTGTTGGTCCTTTTCAGGCCAACAGTGTTGACAGTGGACGACCGGACAGTGATGTTAGAGAGAAATACAAGCACTTGTTTAGTGGAGTTGGTCTTTTGAAGGGTTACGAATAAGAACTGCATGCTGATGAGTCGGTGAAGCCTGTGGCACAGCAAGTACGCAGAATTCCTTTCGGGTTGCGAGAGAAGGTGGATGCAAGGTGGATGCAAAGCTTGATGAACTTTTGAAACTTGAAGAGAAATTCCATATCTGCAAGCAGCCTTGTATTATCTTGTTTATCTTATAAACACAGTAGCCCTTAGCCGACAAGAAAAGACGGTTTTATTAACGAATGAAAATAAAGGAATCGACAATCCCCGAATAAAAATCGTAAAGTGCATTGGCGATAAAGCTCAATATGGAAAAAAAAGCGCTGAATCACTACAAAACAACAATGGGCGTCATTTTCAATATACAAAAAAAATTGTAAGTTATTGACTTTTACATGACCTATACAAATCTTTCAGCTACATTGATAAAATTGGCCCGTGGAAAATCTACTAGTTGTCGATTTTCGCTCTCGGCTGCGAGAAATGCCATTACCAAAACCACTGAATGCGTAACTTTCGGCTTTTCTTTTCGCAATTTGGTTTTCTTTACATTCTAGGAAAGTTTGAACGTCAGTGTCTGAAAACCATACGGATTTTTCAGTACTTTACCAGTCAGGATACGAGAAAATTCCGACTAACAACATGAATTGAAAATGGTGAAGGCTTTGCCGTTCATTTATTAACCTGACCAAGTGGCGCAAAAGGCGAGTGACGTGTCAGCAGCTGATTAGCGATATCAAACAAAGTGAAAAAATATCGAATTTTTTTACGTGTGTTGTTACGGCTTTTCTCAGGGCTAATAATCCTTGTTTAACACCGTTAGTTTACATGATAATATCGTTTCTCTCACGATGTGGTCACTAACTTATATGAGTCTTCGATATTTATATATATATACAAAAATCTTGATTATAGTACGTCTATCCTTGCGGTATAGTGCTCGATGCGTTCGCAGAGCGTGCTATATCTGAAAGTTGGACAAATCAATAAGACAACTTTTCTGTGACTCTGAGTTTCACGCTTACGCGATCATCAGACAGATTTTAATCTGATAATAAGATTTTAATTCGTAAAATAAGTTTGTGGA